AAGGAGGTTTGCAACCACTCGTGACGCTTGTACTGTCGGGAACGGACGAGCAGAAAACGCAAGCTTTGCGAGCGCTGGGGAACCTGGCAAGAGCCGATGACAACAACAGCAATGTGGTGTTCCCGAGTGAAGAGGTCATTCTGCCACTGATGCAGTTCTTGCGGTCTGGGACGATTGCTCAGAAAGCGAACGCTGCAGCTGCTCTACGAAAGCTTGCCAGCAGTAATGAAGACAACTGTGAAACGATTGTTCATGACGGAGCCATTCCGCTACTGGAAGAACTGATAAATACGGGTGATGACGTGCAGAAGGAGTCAGGAAGGGCTGCATTGGAGAAACTAAGCCCCTATGTGGCTTCGAAGAATCTTGCGAATGTAGGAGGATTCTTCCGCAGTGCTGCGATGAGTTTGGTAGTCATGTGATTTGTATTAGTGGATAGTAAAAAAAAAGAAGTTGAATATTTATCTTGATAGTTCTTTCTGCATCAAGTCTGCATGAAAACAATCTACAGTCCATCCCGGATCTTGTATTCTGAAGCGCACTACAGTCTACGCATGATCGGAATGCTAGGATCGTCTTTTGTGGAGTTGTGTAGAAATTAACAATACAAGGGATTGCCCGCAAAACCTTCGAACCAACAGACGCAATTGATTCGTGTAGAATTTGATAATGCAAGGTGCAAAACCGTCGAACTAACAGACCGAGAAGGTTGGCACAATGTGGGAGGATATAGACTGCACATAAGAAGTCAGCAAGAATTCTAACCCCACACCAGACCTTATAGTGTGGATGGTCAAATGCACTCAACAAAGCACTAGCTCCTTGACAGCACTCTAGGAGTAGATATAAACAACTCATTAATCTTTTCAGATTAAAATATTTGCTACCTAAGTCCGGTCTTCTCGAAAACCAACAGGATATACATAAACGACACTTCTTTTGACACGACTACATCAATGTAAAACAGTGGCACTACAGCTAGTCCCACCATCGAAGCAGTTAGCGCACAAATTAGCACCAGCTTACTTAGTCAGCCAAAACCTTCAATCGAAGACGACGGGCTGGGGCCTTGCACTTGGTTTCCTGCGTTTCTGATGATGGGGATCCATTCCCAGTCGATGGAGCCGTTGCAGGAGGCGGCGACGCAGGTTCAGGGGAATTCTCACCTTTCGAGGAGGATCCATCCTTCGACTGGGTCTCGGCTTCAGGGGCCTTCTCCTCATTCGAGGATCCACCCTTTGCCTCCCCTTCAGTCGAAGGGGGTTGCTCTCCGCCGGCTGACCCACCAGCGGATGGCTTGGCTTGCGTCGCTGAGCCGCTACCTTGTAGAGGGATGCAGTTGACGTACGCTTGCCACTGCTCATTTTGAAAAGCTAGCCAGTACAAGCTCAGTGTGCACTT